GCACTTTTCACCAACGTTTTATTTGTTTTTCGTTATCGTTTGAGATTACCACATTTCGTCACCTTCCGGCCAAAGTATCACAAGCGTCATGCGACGTTTCAAAATTTCCGCCGCCATTTTATTGTTTTTACAGAGAAATTGTTCAACGAAGCTGTCCGAAAATTTCACTGAATTTTCTTTATGCTCCCGATAAATATGTAAAATTTTCAAACAGATTCAACCAACAATTTCTTTGTAAAAAAAATAGTACGGCGGAAGAAATTTTGAAACGTCGCATGGCGCTTGTGATACTTTGGCCGGCAGGTGACGTTTTCTATAGAAACATATGGTTTTATTTTCTGGGCTCATGTACAGCCTTTTTAGTATGTCGACTCAGAAGAGTTCAGGATAAAACGACCTGTACTCATTTGCGGCATTGTTCCAACAGAAGTGTTCATCATTGAATACAATTTTCGCAAGAAATGCGAACTTTTGAGCAATCAAAACTCCATCAGCTGTTGCCTTAAGTTTGTAAATAATTTATTTTCAAGGAGGGTAAAAATGAGCCGCTACATATGGCTCGATGGTTGATGGTACATTGAAAATCGACATTAAACAATACTTCCTCTACCCGCAAGGGGAGCAAGAAAGTAAAATCGTGCATCTCCAGTTGCTGGTATCTTGGCACGTGCCATGGGGCAATCCCTCTGGTCGCTATGAAGCCCAACCCCCAGATAGGGCTCCGCGACCCCCTAATGCCCGCTTAGCTGCCTCCCCTCCCCCGTAAGTTAATCTAACTTAAGTGGGCTTCCCTAGAGCTCATTTCCTGTTGCCAGCCGTAAAAATTATGGAAATCGGCCCGGTAAAATGGTAAAACAAACTGTCGCAAAATGAAAATCTAGGGAATCAGAGAGCACCAAGAAAATAAAAGGGAAAATAATGAATTTTTTTTTTTTTTTTTTCAAATTGTAAATAAGGGTTTTATCTTATTTTTGTTTTTAAACTCTAGGAATCTGTTTAAAACTTAACGCAAAGGCACTCATACTTTTTACTTAGGGGAATATGACAGAATAAACATAATGTTGAAACGTCGAGATAAATGCCTGTCAACTCTCTGTATTTGCGGTATTGATGCATAATTGCTTAAATACATCTAAATGCTGCCCTTCTAAGCGAGAACAGCTTAAATACAGTAGTAATCCTGAGCAGATAAATGTGCATGAAGCGGTATCAGAAATGAATTGGTATGCCGGCATTTTAAATCACTGATAAAGGTCGGGGATGCAGTTATTCCTCGTCACGAATACCATCTGGTTTCGTTTTAATTGTAGTCTTTTTCTGCCGGTTTCAAGGCTAACTGATGAATTTTTATAGGTCTTCTCTTCTTAATTTAAGCTTAGCGAGTGAATGACCGAACGCTCATCAGGCATTTTGCACACATTTCCGACATTTTGCAACGGTATGGCACGAAAGGTAAATATTGATTAACATCTGCACCAAAATATGACCTAGATTCTCAGGAGGTTTTACAAAATCCATTCTGATCCTAACTAAAATAGGAATAATGATTTAAGTACCTAAATGACTTTCGTCGATAGTTGTAAGGAAGGCTGATCTTGATTTTAAATATCATCTAACAAGAAAAAGCGCTCGGGGAAAATAATTTTAAAAAAACGTATTCTAATATTTCTGATAAAGACTTAAAAATTTGCGATCATAAAGTATGATAGGAAGGGTTTTTTTTTTTTTTTTTTTTTTTTTTTTTTTTAGTAGTCTTAGTCTAGAGGCCTTGTGTTTTTTGTGGCAAAATTTTTGTTTTGGTAAAAACGTTTGATTAAAGTAAAAAAAAAAAAAAATAGTGATTTACATCCTACTTTTGAATTTCCAGGAAACGTTTTTGCTCATGAAGGGGAAACAGAGTACATATACTACAATCCTGTTGGTGCGTGTTATTTTTCTCTCACTCAAAGAATAATATTGAGTGCTGAATATTCTCTCGTTGGCCAAATTAAGACTCGTTCGTAATTTTGATTACATGTTTTATAATAATGAACAAATTAAGAAGTATGAAAATGAGCCTTCAGAATTGCCCTTTGTTCTTCCCATTTCAAGCAATCCTTGAGTTTGGCCTATCATTCTCTACTTCTGAACCGCGCTCAGATTTGATTTCATAAATAATTCAAAACAACCACAACATTTCGCATAACTAATCCGACTGCAGATGAGTCGTGAGTGTTTAGGGCGATCTCGACAGTTTATAAATCTATCCCGAATTGGTACACAATAATTACAATGACTCGTTTTGTAAAGATTTGCTGTTTTTATTTACTCATGCTAATGCAAAACCTAATTGCAAGAATGAATTTTCAATCATTATCACTGACAGGATGTTATAGTAAAAAATGCGGTGAATACTTCATTTTTGGCACGGAGATATTCCATAAAAAGTCTTCAACTTAACTGTGATTGTTTATGCACCATCTTAAAATCAGCAGTTTTGATTCTTTGACCTCTAAATTTTATAATTAACGCGATTTATGAGAGTAAAAAGGAGAACTTATAAGAAGGGAGAATTAGAGATGCTTGGTCACATTAAAGTTATGGCGTTAAATCCTTCAAGTGACAAGCCGGGTTCAAAATGAAAAGAACCAATGCCAGCAATTCTATCCATGTCGAAGATTATGTTCCAACGGCCACTTTCATTTCAACTCAAACCCAAATTAAAAACACTTAAAAAAGCCACAGGGTACTCACCTTGAATCGTTCCCGGGAACTTTTTTTGTTTTAGCTCTCAGAACTTGACTCGGTAATCTATTCGTAGGTAAGTATTAAATAGAACGTTTCGTTTTCACTTTCATGCCAAAGCAAGATAATTTCTTCTGAGTTTAAGTTACTGCATGGTTAAGTTCCATTTGGACATATTTCTATCAAAAGGAACTATGTGCATAATATAGATACCAGAAAAATTACAAAACGCGCGAAAAGCGCGCTGGCGCCTACATACCTAACAGGATACCTCACGCCATGCGCAATGCGTGAAGTATCCCTGTTAGGTTTGTAGGCGCTTATGTGTCTGGTTGCCCGCCGCGCTAAGGACAGCAACGGCGTTTCAAGCAGTTATTTCGCAACAGAGCAGAGGTGTTGCACAGGATCATATGAAATTGAAGGCACTCTAAAGGCGTTTTCAATGAGGAGTATAGGCAAGAACATAATAGCAATGTTCAAATAGTCGTATGATCAATTTTCATTTAAATCGGTATCGTTGAGCGTGCGTTAACTCGTGTTTAACATTTGTATGGGCAAGAGTATGAGTGGAACTTGGAACGGTGCACTGACGAAAATTTTTTGTTTGCAAAGTATACTGAACGATATGCATGGAAAGAATATGATAATTTCAATTATACTTTTAGCCAAATTTGACGCCAACTAAAAGTGTAGTTGAATGAGCCAAAAGTATGTTCATGGTAAATCAACGAGGAAAGTAGTTGAAATCATTTGTCTTCCGTAAAAAAAAATCAGGAACCGAAGTCATCCTTCAAATCATTCTCGAGCTACTGACGCCAATTTCAGATGAAGCCTTAACCGCGGCAAAACTCCGTACCAATGAAATCATCAGAAAATTTCAGTGGTGTACCTATCGTAAACAAAGAGGAAAACGTGTGGCACCCGTAATTGGAGGTATTTCTGCCAAACGGAACCATGTGCATTTAGACACGAGCCCTGCGACCCATACGGATATACGTGCACAATAGAGCTCACGTCATAATGCACATAGTATCGTTTGACAGAAAAAACTCCAATTAATGATCTCGTGTATTAAATCGTGAGCCTCTCCCGAGTGGGATCAAATTATCTAATTGGATACTCATTCAAATATTCTCGGATTTCCGAGGAAGAGGAGAAGATCACGATCTGCAGGTGCGAGGTTTTGTTGTTTAAGTATCTAGTATCTTCGGGTGGAAAACGTAAGAAAACCACGAAACGAAGACTTTTTAAGCATCGCAAATTTTCATCAAAATTCACTCTTGTATACAATTTTCTGTATGTTTTTGAAACTGGACAGACGTTAAAGAATGAACACGGGAAATCAGGTGATATTTTGCGATGTCGGGACAAAATAATTATTATTTAAAAATCCCATGAGGAAGTCTTTCGAGACAAATGAACAATATTTTGCAACGAAGAGGTACCATTTCTTCCTCATCCATTAGAGCACCCATCTACCCGACGGAACTTATGGCACGTATGTTGTTCCTGAAAGTAGCCAAAAATAGTGGTCTTTTATTGCTGAATGTATAGTCTAAATGTACCTATAGCTCAAACACTAGTACCTCGACAATACCGCGGTTTGTGGCGAAGGTTCACGCCTCAACAACGTCTTATTGTCAAAATTGCACAAAACAGCGTATGTGCACAGGATAAAATGAACTTACGAAAAACTGAACGTATATGCGGCGTTTCGTCGCAAAACCGGATATTTGCGGCGCCGGATAATTATCTGCAGCCAGTTATACTCATAAGGAATCGCTGGATTGTGGAGAAAAAATTAATCTCAGTATTCATTTACCTCAAGAAGTATACCCTGCAACGCTTTTTGTCGAGATACTTAATTCAATTATTATTCTTATTTTTTTTATGGCTTTCAATTCCTTCATCCGTAACATATATTTTCCACCGAAAACGTTAGTTTTAGCGAACGGGTCAAAAAGTGCTCAACAACTCATAATATATATTTGCTATTTTCCTACTGTGGCACCTAACAATGCCGCAAGTTGTATTTTAAGAATAGTTCCACCAAAAACCTCCAACTGTCAGATTCTAGGATAGTTTAACCCAAAAAACAGAAGAAGGAGAAGAAGAAGAAGAAGAAGAAGAAGAAGAAGAAGAAGAAGAAGAAGAAGAAGAAGAAAAATGTGGTTACGGATATTGTTTTAAATTTTCATAATTTGTATGGTTTCATTAATAATATACCATATTGTAATCACAACTCAAATCGAATTCTATTTTTTTTATGATTTCAGGATGAGTGCTAATGACTCTGCCTCATGCACAGACGTCATTAAAGGCAGAGGGAAAGAACTACCTAGGAAAGAAGTGGAACGAATTGCACAAGATGAGCTGCGTGAAACTAAAAATGTACGTGAAACCGCCCTTCAGCAGTTTAGAGAATGGGTTGCTAAAAATAAAGACATCTCATCAGTCAGAACAGGTAAACTAACTCGAATCCATCACCTCAAAATTCGTTTTTAGGATAAAATTTTTAAATTAGCAGCCCGTGACAATGGTCATGGCAAAAACATAGGAGAAAAACAGGAAATAAGTCTAAAAATTACACATAAAAATCCGAGACGTCTCAGCCCAAAATGAGCCATCTTCAGTAGGAAGAATAAAAATCAAATATAAAAATCCCAAGTAGAAACCTGCAGACTACATGATGACCGAGAAAATCAAAACAAAGAGGAGAGAGAAAAAATCTTGAAGAAAAATCTAAAATCTTTTTATCTCTTCTCTTTGTTTTGATTTTCTCGGTCGTCATGTAGTCTGCAGGTTTCTATTTGGAATTTTTATATTTTATTAATATTCTTTCGACTTAAAATGGCTCAGCTTTGGGCCGCAACTTTTCGTATTTTTCTGTGTAAAAGTCATTTATCTGGTCAGAGTAATGTCTTATCTTATTCTGGACGAGGATGATAAAATTATGGTTTAGCGATTGTTTTGACGGTTGTCTATATTTTATAAAGAGGCATTGATTGCCTCGATTGCAATGTTTTTTGGAGTGTCGTCGAACCTAAATTCCCATACTCACCCAGTATTCATTCAGAAGTTCTCAAAAACGCGTTTACAAGCCTGCCATTCATTCCAACTTTGCTGGTGGCCCCCTAACCTGCAGAAAGTAGAAGAGACAGGTCTCCAAGAGCGTTTGGAGGAAGTCCTGTAGATGAATCGTCAGCTCTCTGACGTAACTATCCGCTAGAGAAACAGGCCAAAAGAGGGTTAAAAAAGCTCGTTTTTGACCAGTTTTTGACTGTTTCTCGGCTCAGGAGGCCTCGCCGAGAGTCAGGACTGTGCGGAATCGATTTTACGCCTCCAACTACGTAGGATGCGACTGAAATCTCGAAATTTTTTTCTCAGTCCCAAATCGAGAAAAATCGACAGGGGTTACATGGACTAAATTTTTAGCGTCAAAATCGATAGTTCGCCGATCGGGTCGGAACCAAGTAAGCTCGCTTGGAATTGACCCGCTGAGTGGGATTTTCTAGTCGGAAAAGCTCCGCAAGTCCCTCGCTTCGAGCTATCCGCTGAAAACGCTCCGGAGAAAGATTCAAAAAGTGGTCAGAAAAGCTCATTTTTGATCAGTTTTTGACTGTCTCTCGGGTCAGAAAGCCTCGCCGAGAGTCGGGAACATACGGAATCGATTCTACGCCTCAAACTACGTAGGATGCGACTGAAATTTCGACATTTTTTTCTCAGTCCAATGCGTAACTATCTTAATTTCTACGTGAGCCTTGTTACCGATATAAACCCACGCTTTTCGGAGCTTACAAGGAAATGAAAAAAAACGCTCTACATCAGAGGAACGACTAAATAAGAGTCATGGTTCTGCAACAGTTCTATTTTTGCAGTATATGAAGTAAAAGTAAATAAATACAAAATTCTCATTAATTTGCGATATTTCATTCCAGAAAATCTACCCAGCCGATTTCCACGATTTTTGCGATTTTTGGCAGAAAATAACTTCAAGATAAGGCCATTCTTGTTCAATTTTTTGGAAAAAGACTCATAAAGTGACTGAAGGGGGTGGAGGGTATTCTTTTTAAAAAATCATATGTATAAATTCATGGAATCCTTTCGAGGTAAATGATCTGATCTGAAAAGAGAGAATGTTTGATTGCATTTACCTAAAGTTTTCTTTTTTTTCAAATTTATGGAGCCACCCAGCACCAATAAGTACCTTTGTCAATAATTTAAAGGGTCTAAAATATTACAGGATTCCAAACAGTGAAATTTGATGCCTTAAACATGGAAGTCACCAACAAAACAAACGTGAAAAATACCCACGATTTTAAGTTTGAGCTGATGGAACGAAGGGTATTGAGACCACCGGGAATTTTTGTTAGTAAATTACTTTCGCTGTTCACGGTTAAGCTTGTCAAATTTCTGTAACTCATCACCCAGGGTCAAACCATCACCATTCTGCTTTGAGAGCACGCGTTTTAGATTATTGGTGAACCGCGGAGGCATGAGCCCCCAAGCCTCGTCGCGCTACGCGCGCAAGGCATGCGTAAAGGCATGCAAGTCGCGAATTGCGAAAATCTAAAATTGCGAGACCTTTATCTTTCACCACAACGCGTTCACTTCTCTGTTCACACCTTACGTGCCCGATGCGTTTTACATAATTAAGCGTTCAAAGATTAATTAATTGCACCAATCCAGAGACAAAATGATTATCAGATGTGACGGATGCGACGTTTGAGTTAAGAAAATTGGTCTCGTTCGCAATTTAAATGCCGCAAATCTTCGTGCGTGAGTGAGTCCAATAATTGTCGTCATTAAAGCTCATCCAGCTCACGTTCCATATCCGCTAGATCTTGACCGGAAACCGATTTACAGAGTTGATTACTCTCCTTGTAAGTGCAAGTCGTCAAAAACGCTTTGTGAAGAAAACATAAAACTCCTGCAATGAAGGAGGCATGCAATTTGTTCAACAGGGGAGCACGCTTTGATACTTATCAGAGTAATTGAAGGAGTTTTACTGGAAGAAGTTTTGCATCAACAGAGCTGGTGATCGTGGTTTATGAAGGACTGGCATGAAAGTATTAAAAAGGAGGTTTCAGCACCGAGAGAATTTTATCAAATGTCTCAAAGAACGTGGCTAATTTACTTTACTCGCTGTTGTTTTCATTCTCTCATTTCAGTTCGTTGCGTTTCTTTCTATTTTCATTTCTCAAGTCAAAGTTATGATAAATTCCTCTTTTGCTTTCAGCAATGAATTTATTTTTTCTGTTCCAGACGCATCTTTCCTACTACGATTCCTCAGAGTGAAAAAATTTAGTTTACCAATGGCCCAACAAACTTTACTCAAGTATTTGAACTTGAGGAAAACGTTATCACACTACTTCAGTTTAATTAGCTACGAGGATGCGGCACTCATGCACATACTGACTAATGGGTAATAAACAATTACATTCCATGGTTTAAATGATTTATAATTTAAAATTTGTGGGGATCAGAGATAATTATTGTCGTATTAATTAATTTCGATCAAGATCCTCATAATTTTTGTTAGATATTTGGAGACCAGGAATATGCTGGCAAGGAAACTGGTAGAATCCTGTTAAAAAAACACGGGTTCGTTCATGTTGGAAAGCTTATAAAGAAATTATCAATGCAGTTTCTACTGATAAATCATTTTTTCATGAAATTTTACGTGAAAAATGCATCTTAATATTGGGCATGTTTGATTCATTAATTATCCTAACTTTAATTTTTTTTGCATGAGCCACATCTCTGCCATCCAAGTTTCTAGTGGCTAAATGCAAAATGTATTGAACTTATACGGTCCAGTTGAATATTATCTACTTATGTTAAACGTGTGCTTTATTTTATCAGGTTCATTTTCGCCTCACCAATCAGAGACTCTCTCGGTAGGAGAGTGATAATCTACGTCATTGGTGAGAATCTTATATATTTTTACTTGTATCTAAATTAGTATTTCAGCCGGTCAAGGGTATTCGATGATATTTACAATTTGTCATATTGAGTAATATCGCTCAGGAAGTTTTAAGAAAATAAAAATATTTTACCAAAATTATATTTCTCTGTAAACAATTCACCGTTGAAATCGCTAGATTTTTTAAACAGATTTTCCTAACATCTTCAATTTTTCAGCCATCTTGAAGAATGGTAATAATTTATCCAAGTAATGTCCAGTTGAAAAGGCAAAATTTAGACAGAAACACATACAATACACACAGAAAAAAGTAGCATATGGACAGGTTCATTCCTTCTTGTTCAAACATTTTTGGAGTAGTGCCATTAATTATAATTAAAAAAAATAAATTTAAAATCTGGACACTATACAATTATCTATTATAGGTGTTTTTACTTACATAACTTTTAAATTAGAGCGAAATTTTTAAATCAGCCCGGATTATAAATTTAATTTTTTAATTTTGATTCCTTCTTGGTAAATTTAGTCGAGTATTGGTAAGTTTGAGTTGGCACAAAACCTAGTAGAACCAATTTGTTTTCATCCCTAATAATTCATTCACTTATGTACTCAGATAGATTCAATCCATACAAATATGGCTGTGGTATTATGGCTCAGGTTTTCTTGATGACGTTTGAAACCGTCCTCGAAGATGACGTCACTCAAATCACCGGAGTCACGCATTTTGCAGACTTGCACGGCGCATCAGCTGCTTACGTCACACTCTGGTCGCCGTTGGAGTTTGTGCGAGCTGTTAGATGGGGTGAGGTAGGTGTATATTATTTTTATATATATTTAAAATAAATAAATTCTAAGATAAAATATAGTATATATTTCATTTTAAACAAAATACCCTATTAAATGATGTAATTATTTTTGTGAAACTGAAGGAGTTGACATCTTTTTAGAGTATGCGCAGTTTTTTCTTTTTTATTTCGTTCAGAATTTATCTCATTTTTAAAATTCGCATTTACTTGTTTTCAAGCACTCATTTGAATTAACCTGAGAGCTCGCTTCCACTTACAGATACACACGTGGTATTGGAGAGCAAAATTATTCACGTGTGACAATGAAAATTGGCCTAACCTTAAGAAACGCTTATTTTTAACCCTGCATGCATATTTTTTCAGCAATCAATGCCAATGAGAAACAAGTGCGTAAATATTCTCAATTGCCCGACGTCTGTGAGATACATACTCGACTTCTGTAGAGGACTCCTAAGTACTAAATTAAAATCCAGATTTTTCGTAAGTTCATTTCAACATTATCTGTCATTTATATTTTGTTTTCTTTCTTCTATACAAATCACAGCAGCCTTTATTGTTGAAATCTATGTCGGCACGACAAGAATCGAAAATCGATGTATTACACGGCGCAGATAGGGCTATGTCTTGTCTTATCGTGCCGACATAGCCAGTTAAAGTTTCAACAATCCGGCTGCAGGTCTATAATGAAACCTCACTGAAAAATAAGTGAAGTTCATTTAACATTCTGGATGTAAAAAAGAGTGCGAGAACTTACAAAATGCTAAATTAACTGCTACAACAGTATTACTTCAGCAATGTCAAGATGTAAAACTAACTTCCGTAGCTGGTAATTCAGCATTCTATGAGTTCTCACACACTTTTTTTACATCCAGAATGTTAAATCAACTTAATTTTTTTGACGGTGCTGATACGAAGAAAATTGGCTTTTTAACGGTGCCGTTTTGCGGTTCCAAGTTTTTCCATCAATATTTCTCGGCTTTTAAAACGTAAAGATACCAGAACTTGCGCCTCTCCTTGCCGCTTATCAGAGTTGCCAGGTTATACGATAAAATGTGGATATTTTACAGAATTTAAACGAGGAAAAGTGGTGAGTTTTCAGCACTATCTGGCAAGAATGCCGAATATTGCGCTCACTAAACCGAGCCTCGTCATAAGTGATTGTCCTCAGCGAGCTTCGTTTTGGAATTTGAGTTCTACTTCAAACTTTCATTTACCAACAAAAGACAACAAGACTCATTCAGAGTTATTTGATTATTATAATAAAGTCAACTAACTGACAAATTTTCCATGAACTGAAATTATATTTTTTCTGTCCTAGATCCATGACAGCATTGATGGTCTCAAATCTAAAATTGATGCGAAATGTTTGCCAAAAGAATATGGTGGGGAAATTCCCATGAGCGAAATGCTTGGTAAGTTAAGTTGTCTACAATTTGTGCTGACGCTTGATTGAAGGTTTGAAACAAAGTAGATAAAGACATCAGAAAAAGCGTGGCTGAATTTTTACACCATGAAACCCAAACCATACCATCAAAATTTAAATTTTATTCATTCCTTTATACTCACGAAACTAAGTGTTTCTAGACTTCATTCGACTTCAAAAAAGACGCATTGTTAATGATTTAGTGACCAGATAGATGCAGTTGAATAATGCATTTTAATTTCTGGTGTTAACCCGCAAAAACTGTAAATTGAAATTAGTTATTATTTAAAGACATTTTGACTATCAAGTTAGCAAGTTCTAGCCAAATGGAACAGATTGTAATGAATTGCAATCGCACGGTAAAATACTGCTAATGTATCGAGGTGTTGTGAAAGTTGTCGATTCACTAATTGAAGGGGCTTCTCTTATTGACATTTATTGCAATAAAATGTGAACACGTTGCAAATTTTTGACATTGCAAATTGCCCGCCTTCCTCACACATGGGACTTTTTTCTTTTTTGCGTTACGTTAAAATTGGCGTTTCCTAACAAAATGATGTAAAAATATTGCAATTAAATGAAAAAAAATGTGAAGCAAAAATGTAAATAGCAGAATTATTTCAATATTTTCGCACTGGAACAAAAAGTCACTCGGATCTAGTATCCAGACTCTTAAAAACATTGACAAGAAAAAATACTCTTGATTCAATCGGATTTTTGCTTAAATCGAGAACCAGTCCTCTTGATTTAAGCAGATTTCCTTTTAATCGGAGCAAAAATCGGATTGAATCTAGAGTGTTTTTTCTTGTCATTGTTTTCAAGAGTCTGGACTCAAGATCCGACAGACTTTTTTTTTCACTGTTGCATCTTGCCATTATTTGGGTGTAAAAGAAGACGTCGTTTGAACTTAAGTTGTTTCACGGTTGATTCGATACTTTCAGAGTTGTGGAAGAAAGAAGTCTGGGCGAGAAAAGATCTGATTTTGGCGAACAAGGAGATGCAGATCCACGATACCAGTGGGATTCAAACCCGCAAAAGTAGAAGTGGATGCCAGCCACTTAACAACACCGAAACCAATATCATGGCCGTCAGCGGTAGTTTTCGACAGTTAAACGTTGACTAGTAACGTTTTCAATCCTTTACGCTAAGTTCCTTACTCTTATATCGAAATATGCAACATGCTTTAAGCAAATGTGTTGCGGTCATAGAGTTTTCTATCACTGCAAATTATGTTCGTAAAATTTCAGCGATCTGTGTTGGCAGCATCACTGAAGGCATAAAAATGGAAAAGTGTTCGGATTTGCCTAGAAGAGTTTAAATCAATCCTCCGTTCCTACCAACACGCTCACCGTGATTTTTGAGCGATTTAACATGAGAACTAAGTTTTATGCTTTCTAAAATTGTTTTGTGACACAATAGCAGTGTTCAAGTATTCAAAGTCTACATTTGAATGAACAAAACGCATTATGCCAATTTCCAAGAATTACCACTGATCTAACCACGTCACTAGGTTCTGGCAAATATTTTCATCGTTTGAAATTTCTGAGTAATTTTATCTACCTGGAAGCAGATGAAGAGTGGCAGAGAATGGATTATCTTTCAAAATAACCTAATCTAGTTCTAAAGAAATCGTCTCTCTTATTCTAGTGAAAAGTTTTATTTTTGTTACAATTTTGATATTTTGAATTAGTTCATCTGTACATCTAAAGACTCCGGTCAATGATTCCTATATAAAATATATGTAAAGATATACTTAATTGTCTACTTTTCTGTAACCATGTGAACTGAGCAGGCGCTCAGCTTTTTTCAGCAATTCAGAGAGTTTGTAAAATAATTTCATAAAAATTCAAATTATGTAAATTCAGCATGGTCAGGCTTAATATCTCAATTTATACGATGAGCGGTTCGTTAAGGGTCATTTCATAGCCATTGATTATTTTACCTAAATCAAAAAACGTGAGTATCGACTCTTGTACTAAACGATGCAAGCGCAAAAGTTAAAGACAGAGCAGACATCGAAATGATAAGAGTATCATTGCAAAATAATCAAACGTCAATTAGGTTTTGAGGGTTCAATGACTAGGGGACAAAATATCAACACAGCTGATTGGGATAGTGAATACTTGCTGCCATTTATTGCACAATTAATGACTTCATGAGGCTTTACTTTTGCTGCTTAAAATGACCATTTATGGCTGAGCAGTGCTTAAATCTGAAAGAAATTTTCCGTCAGTCTGTTTTCATTTATGGGAAGATCGATCCATCGAATTCTTATCATTTTGCACTGACGGGCTCTTTCAGGATTAGCAAGGTGGCGCTGCTCAAAAAGCATGAGAAAAAATTTCTCGGACCACGTAATATCGTCTCAAGAAATTTCCGAAGCTGATTAAGAATGTCCTTTCACCTCAGCTCTACTATTTTCTTTCCTCTGAAAAGAAAAATTCGTTTGCAGTGTAATGGCGACCAATGCATAAGCCATGACCTCTAGTAGTTCAACGAGTTTGGAATTGATAACTAGAGTTCATTTGAGTTTAACAATTATTTCATTGTTCCTGCTTCTACCAATTTTTTTCTCATCACCAAAGAAGTCAAGGGACCAGTCAAATTCATCGATTTCCATGCTCTCGATTCAAATTACATTTGATTATTGGAAACTGTGCAATTCTTAAGAATCCCTCTTGATAATCAAACGGGTTTAGTTTACGTTTACAACCTTGTAGTCAATTTAACCGTCTTTTTCAAAAAGAAACAGCTGAAGAATAAAAATCTATGCTCGAAAATGTATAAAAATTGGATATCATATTCAATGCAAATGGACGTATATTTATCAAACGGAACTATGAGTGGGTGGGAAAGATGGGATGTGCTCGTGGCGAGGTGGATAAGAAAAAATGTAAAAGTAGGCGTGATTCCTTTATGTGAAATGGAAAAGCGGGATTTTAAATTCAGCAAACGGAACTATGTGCGAACTGTAAGCGGGAATCATGAGCCGTGGGTATGTGACAGAGCGTTGTGGACAGGGCCCATGAGTTAAAGTCGCGGAAGCGCGGCCGTAGGGTCAGCTTCGTCACCGCTGACGTCACTGGCGCTTCATAATTCCCATTCATTCTTACTACCCTAGAACTAATGAGCATACCCAACCTTTCCCACCCGCACATAGTTCTGCTTAGTAGAAATGCGTCCAATTTATAAAATGCTCTCACGGTAACAAAATGCCGAAGCCTAATTTTTGACTAACAAGTTTCAACATAGTTCTCCTAGCTCTAGCATTAAAAATCTGTTCGAAATTGCCGTTTTAGAGCTCAAGTGTGAGCCAAATAGAGATTTGCAGGTGTCTGAATTTGTGAGAACTTCATCTTCCAAATGACACTGCTAGGAAAACGTGTTGAAATGGGAAATGCCGCCAGATGACGTTTCTAAGGCGGCACATTTTCTCACTTTTAAATCAATGTTGCTCCCATTTCCCTTTTCAGAAAAAAATTATGAAAAATACTGCGAACTTAGCTGATTCAACACTCTTAGATGAAACAATAAAATGTTTGCGTGCAAATTCTCCATTCAAAACCGAAATTATCATGGCGAATGAACCGGACTCAAGTCGAAAAATGAAATCATCCTCAGCCGGCGCTGAATTTGAACCGAAACCGAAACTCATCAGTTCACTTCAAACCGGTTTCAATGAATCATTCCGGTTGGCAGGCCTACATGTGACAGAAAATGTTTTTGAAGATGAAAGGGGGAAAAAATCTCAGCCAGGAGTTGTAAACAACAATAAGAATGTTCTAGATATTATTTAATACGAAGCTCTATTTTGAGAAAACGTGAGTGGTAAAAGTAAGAAAGCACGCGACCAGATTAGACGTTGGAGCTGGAGGACCACGTCTTGTGACGTATGGGGGACTCCGGATGCGCGCGCGAGCAAGAAGCAGAACGCACGCGGCGCCCAACGTGCTCGACCGCGAACGTCGGAAGAACCTCGTAACTCCGTTAGGCTTCCGTTGGAAGATAAGTGATTCTTCCTTATCAGTATATAATACAACATCATTGACCATCCATGTAAACAAAGGTGCGTTTTGCTATTGTTATATCATAGTGCGTTCCACGTTTAGACATATCAGCCATCTGAGACACTCACGTTTCGCATTATCTCTAAAGCTATAGATAGAGAAATTCGTATTTTTCCACGCTGAAAGAAAATCAAGTACATAGACATACCGTCCGTTCCGAGGCTTAGAGGCCGAAAGTTTCGGGTGCTGGAGCCGTAGATTCGATTGTTCCGGGTGCTACGCCCGGAACTTTTGGCCTCTAAGCCCGGCAGGCGGGCGGTATGTCAATATGGCCCGTAAGTACGGCATCCGAGGCCGGAGTTTTCTTTTCAGTGCAGGCATTTTTGAGTGGAGACCAAGTATCGCACAATTGGAATAATTCTCATCAAAACATACATTGTTCGGGACCTTCATTTATATTTCATACGAAAATTAAACACCATCATTGTGTACATCATTTGTGCATCATTTGTGTGTAAGGGCATATGTGTATTGGAAAAAAGTCATATTTTGGGCCCGAAATTCGATCCTGAAAGTTAAGTACTTTAACTTCAGGACACCCTATATATTGCTTTCGGCTTTGAAACATCCGCCAAACGAACCTATTAGTAGTAACCTATTAGTATCTTTAACCTATTAGTAGGTATCGCCTATACGAAGTGCGCCTTCAATTTTGCTGCACCGGCAAAATCCCTACAGGGGAGCGCTAATAGTTATCTACTCGAAAACACACAAATAAAAACCGATGAACTATGTTATTCAGCCATTGGAATACATTGCGAGGTATTGACTCTCCGAAGTTCGCCTTCATTTCTGCTGCGTAGGCAACAAACCCACCAAGTAGCTCGATTAGTTGCCCATTCAAACAACGCACACTTAAATAGCTCCATGATCTTCGACTGATTGTGAGCCGATAAACGACTTAGAGAACCAATTGGTATATTATCGTGCACCTTTTCTGTGGCACCATACGTCTACCTCTCTTGGATTTTCCATTTATGGGTAACTTTCAATCACCGAAAGCAGCAAAATTGCATTCTGAAAAATACCAGCTGCTGTAAATAATGGAATTTTAAAGTTTAGTCGGTAGCTTTTACTGTGTTCCCATTCGTTGTATTTAAAATATTTACTCGGATGAATTAATTGGTTCAATCATTAACGGATTTTTAGAAACGATTTGGAACCCACGCCAAATAAGCTTACGCACTTCTAGACTGCAACAGAAGATCGCCAGCCGTCATTCTTTCGTGTAAAGTTACAAAAAGATGATGAATCTTCTATCACTGTCTAAAAATGCGAAAACTTGTTAGGTTTGGGCTCTAGAAACATGGAGGTGATAACTATTTTAAAGTTGATCCACTGAGGCCATTGAAATTGAATAATTCAGGATGAATCATTGAAGACCGAATAAAATGAGAAACATGTGCATTTTTCTCATCAATTTTTCATTTCATTTTTAGTAAAAAAAAGTGACGGAAAGTATCAAATATACTTTTAATATCAAAAAAAGTATTCTAATTTTTTTAAAAATATTGGTGGATCCTTCCCTATGTGCATCTTCAACTTTAGGATGTCCCTCAAACCTCCCCTTAGGGGAAAGCTTAAATCAGTCTCACGTCAGGTTAAAAAATGTATAAATCCGGTATGGAGCATAAAAAAAGTTTCTCATTTCTGCGTCATACTATTAAAAAGTAAAAATCAACCAAGAAACTTGGACTAACAATCAAAGCCAATTAACCTTTCTTCTCCGAGCAGAGAATGAAGGCGAAAAACAGCCCGTATCGAAACATTACGTGGTCCATTTACGTAGCGTCACACTTATATTTATTTTTCGATCGGATCACAGAACAGAGATCACTGCGATAGTAGAGGTTACGATAGTTCTTCCTCGGTTATCGCGGAACCAGACGCGTGACTGAAAACTGTTATTATCGCGCTTTTGATAACACATTGTTTCGGTTTGTCAAATCAACGCAGGTGCTCACAGTTCAGATGGTATTTTAATTATTGTAGCTGCGAAACAATATTTTTTAGCCCTTTATTATGTACATACATCGTCATGATGAGAGGCTTTTTCGTTAGCCTCACCTCTATTTCTCCCCGTCTTCCTCGACTGAACTGTCGAGTAGCCAAAGGTCATATTTTCCTCTGTATTTAAAGATCAATTTCAGGTAAATGAATATGTAACCAGGGGAAAACCGTGAAGCAAAGAAATTACAGGATGTAAATCTTTAAAAGATGCGAGAATCGCGCTCAAAAAACGTGCGTGCAAAGCAATCCCGCCCCTTCCATTAGTACTATTAGTTTTCCCCTGACTAACACTATGGAGGGCTTTGCAAGGCAGATTAGTTAAAATTTTGGCAAATGTGCAAAATGCAAAACGAGGAAATTCAAATCCATATTGGGTGTATTGAGTGCGTCGGTTCTACATATTTGTATAAGATAGAAAAATTAGAATTGACAAGCTTGTATCCATTTTTTTTTTTTTTGGAGTGAGAATGAGCATTTATAATGAGATGTTATCAAAGATTATATGTATTTTGCCGCACCCCTCTCATTCGTTTTAAAACATCGATAAAAACCATCAAAAGAACGTGCCGGAGGGGGGAGGGGGCGGTGCACAAGACGCGTTTACTCTTGTTTGGTTCATTTTTTTGTGAAAACCGTTTTAGCACTAGCAAAATTCACGGAAATCCTCACGAAAGTTAAGTTCCGTAAACTTATCTCTGTGTCGACAAGACCTTCCATTTACAAGAAATGAACGAAAAAATTGTGAAAGAACAAACATAAATGTGGTTTAATAACTTTAACTTCCGCC